AGGGAGAAAAAAGCCCCCAAAATTCCAATTTAAGGAATAACTACAACCAAAAGTGCTAAGAAATATTATTTCCTTCTTGATCATTTGCTAAACTCCTAAATTGGAGCTAAAGCTAAATGCTTTGGCTTCAAGTTCTCCAGCAGAGAGATCTGAATTGGGATTTTCTGCCCTAACTGGGCTTTAGGAGGACATAATTATTTATATATTATGTTCTAAATGTATCTGGGGTTTTTTAGTCTCAAAATAAAATATATTATTTGGTTGGTTAGTTGTTTGGATTAGTAGTAGTAGTAGTAGTAGTAGTAGTAGTAGTAGAAGTAGTAGTATTACATAATTATTACATTTTATTGTTAGAATTTCTATTTAAATGTTATTTTCTTTATTATTAGTTATACTATATAAAATACCTTTATATCACTTTTATATCTTTGATAGGCCTTTATTACTTTTATATCGTTTATATTTCTTCTATATCTTTATATACATTACTTTTTATTACTATAACTGACACCTACATCAGTTTAAGCACCCACCTAAATGACATTAGTGCTGAAATAATAACAGTGGAAGTTAAATCATATTAGAGCTTTATTAATCAGGACCAGAAATCCAGACTCAGCTTAATTGTCTGACACTTCCTAGAGGTGAAATAAATCCAGCAGAGAACAGGCAAGAAAAAATTAACATCTTGTCTCGTTTTTGCTGGTTTCACTAATTCCTGTTGCCCTGAGACGTTACTTCATAAATAATGGAATTAAATAATGATGGAATTAAGACACCAAAAGATCCTGAGGGAAACCTGGAACCAACATGGAGGTTTCTCCACACTTACTGCTGGGACAAACACCACAGGATATCACCTGAAAACCAAATCCTAAACCTTTCTGCCAGCAACAACCAAGCTCAGGGGCACTAGGGAGGCAGGAAAAGTTGGCAATAAGCAAATAACTCCTAAAAGTTGGATAAAACAGCCTAGACGCCATTTTTATAGGCTAAGAGTCTACCAGACCCTATACAACCACCACCAGGCTCCTCCTCAAGACTGGAATTCTCTTTCAAGTCGGCAAAAATCTGATGTAGTCTTACACCTGTGCCATAAAAAAGTTCTTCCTAAAGCATATCCCAAGCTCCTTACCTGGATCTGCAGACACAGAACCCTCAGGAAGCCTTTCTGGGGGTTCTGCCTTTAAAGAACTGTTCATTTGTAGATGGAATTGGTTTCCTGAGTGTTTCTTTCTCTTCAGAGGCCAAAAGAAGAAGTAAAAAAACCTGGAGGTAAAGCAAATTCCTCCTCTTCTTGATCCCAGAATCAGAAATAATAGGGGATTTATGTTTAACTCTGGATCTGAGAGGAAGACAAGTCCTCTCAGGGCAGGAAAAACAGAGTAGTCACCTCCCTGGGTGTATATACCCACACATGCCTCAGGTCTTGTGACTTTTGATTCACCTGAGAGCTTAAAGGCTTTACCTAACAGTCAGCAAATTTTTGGCCCCGAGGCAAAAATTTCCAAGCAAAAACATATTTGGGAATTAAATTCATTCATTGTTCCAGCCTTTTTTTTCCCCCCAATATAATGATGTTTTCATTAGGATTAGATCTGGACAACTCTTCCCTCTTTTCTTCTCTCTTGTCTCTCAGAGAAGAAATTTCACCTTCAGAGTTGGATTAAAACACATGAGAAATCTGAGCAATATTAGACAAAGAAAACAGAATTATTTGAGGTTAGCTGGAAAATTGCATTAAATAGGGACTTACTTCACCTATAACACTCAGACAGTGTCTTGGATACTTTTCTAACAGGTGATTATGGGTTTTGAACTGCTGAAAAACATCATCCTGTTATTTTTGTAACTCTATTCTCCTTGAGTCAGTATTAAAGACATTTCTTGGGCTCATTTGGGAGTTGAAACTAGATGATCTTTAAGGTTATTTCCAACCCAAACCTATTCCTCCTGAAACATGGATAATGGAAAATTCATGGACTTGTAAAACACACTGAAAAAAAGACTTAGCATAGAATTCCAGAATGATTTGGGTTGGAAGGACCTTAATGATCATCTCATCCCAATCCTCTGCCACAGGCAGGAACACCTCCCACTAGCCCAGGTTGCTCCAAGCCCCATCCAGCCTGGCCTGGGCCACTTTCAGGGATGGGGCAGCACAGCTGCTCTGGACAATATTTATCTGCAATAAACGAAACCATTCCAGTATTCCCATTCAGGAAAAACCCAACCAAAAACCCAGCAAAAGATATGAAATTCAGTATATTCACCCACATATATCTGCACAGAGCAGGTGATACACTCAGTCCCCCCATCTGGGCTACCACTTTATCCACACAATTTAAGTCACCTCTTATTTTAGCAAAGAGCCTCATTTTTAGCCACATCTGCCCCTACAAACCTGCAGTCCCACACAGCTCCACTCATTTCCTGCAGTGTCACCACAACATCATAGAAATTCCTTAGCTGAGACACAACTCTGCGGCTGCTTCTATAAAAAGCAGGTGACTCACCTTCTCCTGTCAAGTGCTGTGACATCACACAATTAAACTGAGGCATTACTAATTAGCAAAGGTGTGAGGAGACATCACAGGCACCAGGAGAAGGTGTTGCCACCAACCCCTTGCAGTGTGGCCACCTATATAGTCACTGACTCTTCCCACCTGCCCTTGGGATGATCTCCCGTTGCAGTGTGTCCTCTGCAGAGTCTTCAAAATTGAAGTTACAGGTTGTTCTCACCTGCAGAA